ACAGGAAAGAAAAACTATGGCTTGGATATTTCATTCTTCACGCAATTCCTCCCAGCAGATGAGGGCTCATAGTTTTTCACCAAGTATCTGCAACAATCGCATGAACAGCAGGATGTTGAGGTTCTGAGTGACTACACAAGTTTCTGAACAATTATTTTTGAATTGGAAGTACTCAAAACACCTTTTCTCTTCCAGTAACTTAGAAATCTGCATCCAAAGCTTAAAACAAAGATTAAAGAGGAATAAAGAACGCATGAGTTTAAGCATGGGATACAGACCCTTAGCTGAACACCACACTGCGTCAGGATTTGCAGACAGAAGTTTCTCGGTCTTCATAAAATGGATGCATCGTCAAAGATCCTAAATTGAAGTTCAACTCCCCCCAGTCTCTAGTCATGTAAATCTGTTTGTTAAAAACATCTTCCTAGGCTTAATTTCTTAAGTCAGTCTCAATTCAGTAGAAACTCACCGAAAATAAAATGGAATACATACTAAACCCATGATAAATAGATCCCTGATCTTCTGACAAGGCAGAAGAATAGCAATGGGTAGCAATTGTAAGTAAGGGCTCCTGCATCACATTGCCAAACTCCCCTCTGCTTCAACCCTTCCTCCCATCTGTTTAAGCGTAATAAAACATTCAATATTGCACACGCTAAATGGAAGTCTCATATGGCAGGCAATCTTCTATGCAAAATGTAACACTATGAAGACTGAGATCTCAGGCACATTTACAATATCTATTATGAAAACCAAATCATATTGCAGCTATTTCAAAGTGTCTGATCAGGTTATAAGACTTCATTCAGGTTAAGGGGTCTCAAAGTAATTTAATAAGATGTATAACTTGCATAGTTTTAATAATTGGCAGAAAATACACAGATGCAGGCTGCCTCCCAAAATGGGTTAGGCTGTATTGCCACCTTACTGTGACACAAACACAGGGCAAAGATATCTGAGTATCCAAGAGACATTTTATTCCAGAAAAAATAATTATTCCATTGTGCCACACTTCAAAATGCTGGGTTCAGATTTGGGCCCCTCACTACAAGGACATGGAGGGGTTGGAGCATGTCCAGAGGAGAGCAACAAAGCTGGGGAGGGGTCTGGAGCCCAGGGCTGCTGGGGAGCGGCTGGGGGAGCTGGGGGTGTTCAGCCTGGAGGAGGCTGAGGAGAGCCCTCATCGCTCCCTACAACTGCCTGACAGGAGGGGGGAGCCGGGGGTGTGTGTGTGTGTGTGTGAGGCTCTGCTCCCAGGGAAGGGGCGATGGGATGAGGGGAAACAGCCTCAAGTTGTGCCAGGGAGTTATAGGTTGGACATTGGGAAAAATTTCTCCATGGAAAGGGCTGTCAGGCTCTGGAAGGGGCTACTGAGGGAAGGGGTCGAGTCCCCATCCCTGGAGGGATTTAAAAGACAGGCAGATGAGGGGGTTA